TATAATGTTATCCATATGTAGATAAGTAAAATACGCTGTGCACACTGTTAACCGAGTGCAACCGAGGGCAAACAGGTACGCGTGTGCAACATGGGGTTGCACGAACAAACCGCCACCTATATCTATTCTTGCTTCTTTCGGTAAAGTCACGTAAAAGGGAAATAATAAAATATTAAAAATATAAAACAATTAAAATTCTCACGACGTTTCGACTGCAACACAAGCAATCATCATCAGGTGTGAAATCCACGGCAGGAAAATTTGAAAAAAGTTGCGGTTTTTCCTAACGTCAGCGTCCTTGGTGCTGACGTTAGGAAAACCGCCACTTTTTTCAATCCCTGCAGTCACGAAAGCTTTAAATCAAAAATTAAACCGCTACCTAATTAAGGGGCTAAGCGGGTGCAAACTGGGTCGACGGTTGTGCACGCTGACACCGGAGGTGTTGCCAGGGAGACGGGAGATAAGGGTTGATTAATGGGCTGACAGGTACCAGCCTGGCTCGCCTTAAAGAGACGCCTGAGAGCTCTCGGATAATTGGCAGGAAGATATAAGGACGTGTGCGTGAGCGTAGCGGAGTTAGTTGTTGCTGGGTACAAGAGTGAAGACATTTCGCCGCTGTCGCTCAAGCCGTCAACAGACCTCAACCCTCACGAGTCGCCAGGCGGGTGATGGTTGATCCCTCCGCCTGGGACAGACGAGTGAGTGGGTCTGAGGGAGCGTAGGCGAGGGCAGCGGTGGAATGTGAGAAGCTGCTGTGTGCGGAGTCGCTGAGTGCAAGCCTCTGTGTGAGAAGCTGCTGTGTGTTGAGTCACTGAGTGCAAGCCTCTGTGTGAGAAGCTGCTGTGTGCTGAGGCGCTGTGTGCAAGCCTCTGTGTGAAAAGCTGCTGTTTGCTGAGGCACTGAGTGCGAAGCCTCTGTGTGTGAAGACTCTGAGTGCGACTAAACTGTGTGCCGAGTCGCTGTGTGCAAGCCTCTGTGTGAGAAGCTGCTGTGTGCTGAGGCGCTGTGTGCAAGCCTCTGTGTGAGAAGCTGCTGTGTGCGGAGTCGCTGTGTGCAAGCCTCTGTGTGAGAAGCTGCTGTGTGCTGAGGCACTGAGTGCGAAGCCTCTGTGTGTGAAGACTCTGAGTGCGACTAAACTGTGTGCAAAGTCGCTGTGTGCAAACCTCTGTGTGAGAAGCTGCTGTGTGCTGAGGCGCTGAGTGCGAAGTCTCTGTGTGTGAAGACTCTGAGTGCGACTAAGCTGTGTGCTGAAGCGCTGTGTGCAAGCCTCTGTGTGAGAAGCTGCTGTGTGCTGAGGCGCTGTGTGCAAGCCTCTGTGTGAAAAGCTGCTGTTTGCTGAGGCACTGAGTGCGAAGCCTCTGTGTGTGAAGACTCTGAGTGCGACTAAGCTGTGTGCTGAAGCGTTGTGTGCAAGCCTCTGTGTGAGAAGCTGCTGTGTGCTGAGGCGCTGTGTGCAAGCCTCTGTGTGAAAAGCTGCTGTTTGCTGAGGCACTGAGTGCGAAGCCTCTGTGTGTGAAGACTCTGAGTGCGACTAAACTGTGTGCGGAGTCGCTGTGTGCAAGCCTCTGTGTGAGAAGCTGCTGTGTGCTGAGGCGCTGAGTGCAAGCCTCTGTGTGAGAAGCTGTTGTGTGCTGAGGCGCTGTGTGCAAGCCTCTGTGTGAAAAGCTGCTGTTTGCTGAGGCACTGAGTGCGAAGCCTCTGTGTGTGAAGACTCTGAGTGCGACTAAACTGTGTGCGGAGTCGCTGTGTGCAAGCCTCTGTGTGAGAAACTGCTGTGTGCTGAGGCGCTGAGTGCGAAGTCTCTGTGTAGAGAAGAAGCTGCGTGCCGAGGCGCTGTGTGCGAAGCCTCTGTGTGTGAAGACTCTGAGTGCGACTAAGCTGTGTGCTGAAGCGTTGTGTGCAAGCCTCTGTGTGAGAAGCTGCTGTGTGCTGAGGCGCTGTGTGCAAGCCTCTGTGTGAAAAGCTGCTGTTTGCTGAGGCACTGAGTGCGAAGCCTCTGTGTGTGAAGACTCTGAGTGCGACTAAACTGTGTGCGGAGTCGCTGTGTGCAAGCCTCTGTGTGAGAAACTGCTGTGTGCTGAGGCGCTGAGTGCGAAGTCTCTGTGTAGAGAAGAAGCTGCGTGCCGAGGCGCTGTGTGCGAAGCCTCTGTGTGTGAAGACTCTGAGTGCGACTAAGCTGCGTGAGGAGTCGCTGGGAGCAGAGCTGCCGAGGGCAGGATAGATGAGGTGTAACGTAGAGACGAGTGGAAGAAGTTAGATCTAAATGACCGTGTAGATAGTTTTAGGAGTGCCTACAACTGGTGCAAGAATAGGTTAATAAAGTGTAAGCAGGTGACTTGTTACAACGTGTCTGTCTGAGTGATTTTTCAAGACACTACACATAGATGGCGTTCAAGTAACTGCTTTCACATTGCAAACATTTTCCTGGCAGCGTTCATTTGGTGGCTTACGGTGTTTGGGCACTTGAACAACAGTGAGTGTGAGGACCATTAACGAGATGTTTATTTCGTCACGATCCATGGGCAGGTAGCCCCGTAGGGGTCCACTGCACATTGTGTCATTGGTAAACACTTTCCTCTCTGTCTTGAAGTGCCAATATGCTCAAGTAGTGCCACATCTTTCAAGCACCAATCTCTTATGTCGTCGTGAAACCATTCTTTGTTCGGTAGTCCTCTCTTTGATCAGATTGTCTTCTTCTATTTGCAACCTTATTTACTTCTATGTTGCTCACTCTTTGGGTGAACTTCTATAGCAATACATTTTGAATGCCAATATCTTATCTCTGTCAGTCTTTTTGCAGTTTTCCCCTCGGCATAGCCGAGTGAGGGCGGTGGGACCACGCCGAGTGATCGGCTGTGTGTAACTAGTAGAGACGTTAATATCTAAGTGTTGTACTCAGAGTAAGACGGACAAAGTTGGCCTGTGTTGTACCCGTGTGAGAATAAACGAAGTACCCTCTACACGATGTGATATGGAAGCCGTTCATTACAGATGTAACAAAATAAATCTGGTTCAGAGACCCATTTTCACTCCAAGCAAACTGTTTGCCAAAGGACCTCTCCACCGACGAGCTGCTCATAGAAGCTTCATGTCACGGCGATTGTCGGCTGGAGTTTAGAAGAATGCGTCTTGGTGATATTTGGCACAGAAGAGAATAATATTTTCAGATTTCAGACGGGGTACTGACAGTTTTTATTTATCCCATTCTGGATAACTCATCTCTGTAAAACTGGATTTATCTGCTATACACCTGTAATAAAAAACTCCGTCAGGCACTGCTGGTCTCCGTTGGTCTTTTATTTAGGTTCTTTCTCCGCACCGCGCTGGTTCCCTCTGCGGACCAGCGTCGTCTCGCGCGCGCCCCGCACGTGCTCCCTCGTCCTCTCCTCCACTCTTCCTCACACCCCGCTGGTCCTGACAAGGAACCAGCGTCTCCTCTCACGTGCCGCGCACGCTCCTCCATTAGCTCCTCCACTCCCGCACTCCGCACACCGCTGGCCGAAGGCGTGCTGAGGTCCTTCGGCCACGTGGCCGATGGCGCGGATCTCCTCCCACCACCCAACGTGGCTCAGCCTCTTAACTTACCCAACTGACCTCGATCTCTTCCAGGCTCCCACTTATATGCTCTCCCCCCACGTGACCCTGACTCCTCCCCTTCCGGATCGTCAGATCCGGCCTTCCGGTACTGCCCAGCTGGCTCCGCCCCCATTCACCTCGCTTCCCATTGGAGCCGAGGTGAACGGCGGCCCCTCCCACAAGCCCCCCAGACCGCGCTGTGTGATTGGGCCAGAGCCCAGCAGGAACCCCATTTACGCTCGCATTACACACCAAACGCGTGCCCATCGAGGGGGTTACCTTCTTAAAAATTTAACCCGTAAAAACAAAGTTTTTCACTATAAATCCTTTATATGTAAGATCACCTCTTGACATGCCCCGTATATTCCCGAGGGCACTAGCGTTGACCCGTTTTACCACTTTCAAGAACCTGGCGGCTTCAATTTAACTGCTCTATAAATAGTCTCCATTGTACAGCGTGAGGGCAGGGATTTCATGCCATGTGGTTCGTCAACATTTGCGTCATCATGAAACGGGCGGCTAGAGTCCTCTCGTCCTCTGGCTTGAGATGGCTGCCACCTATGGGTCAGATGATTGCCTGCCACCATTAAGCAATTGGTAATTAAATATAATTTATTTTTTCCTAAAAAGTGTAAAATTTAGGAAAAATATTTTCACGAAAATAAATTGTCACGCACAACGAGTCTGTGTGCAAAATGTCAGCTCGATTGGATCACGGTAAGTGGGTTAAAAAACGACCGAAAGATTTGCATGGTCGTAAGCGCGCAAGCAAGCAAGCAAGTGAACTTAATATAAAGGATTTAAAAATCGGGAATGGTGGAGCCACAGGTGCGCGATTGGCGAACTGTGTGACGAGGGGGGGGGGTTGAGAAATGTGACGTTACATCAAAATGCGCAATTTTAAATAAATATAGACAACACGTTCTACTTAATTAAATAGACTTTTTAATAAATGTTTTCTCCTACAACATCAGAGTGCAGCGCCACAGTAAATACGCACTACAATGACAATAGTTTAAAGCGATTTGAAGCATGTCTTATTTTTCTTGGGGGGTGGGCAGAGCTTTGTGACGTCATATTTGAGGGGGTGTCTGACGCCGTGTGACGAAGGGGGGGGGGGTCAAAAATCGTCCAAAATCGCGTGACGTCATTTATGGATGGTCCTTCTGGCGTGGATGGTCAAATTCGCAATGGAAATACCCGCGATGGGTGAGATTTCGGTGTAATTGCCATGGAAACAAATACAGGACAGAGCTAAACGTATTGGGAAACTCCAAGAAAAAGACGAAATTTATAATTTAAGAATTTCAGATGAAGAGAAATCGCAGGAAAAAAACTTAAAACTCGGGAAGACGATGACTACATGAAGCACTTTGCTAATTATTTGACTCAATCAGAAAACACGAACTACACAAAAACACACATTGGCTTATCTCAAACTTAATTTTATTTCAACAGGTAGCAAATGAAATGTTAATTGGAATATAATTCTTGTATCCTTTATTGACTAAATATACACCAAAGTTACCCAACGAAGAGTATGTAAGTACACTAGATAATAGCCAATACAACAAGCATATTTCACAACATATTTCTCAACTTAAAACAATTAATCAATGACATGAACAATTTGCAACAAAATTCAAATTGAATGATTTCGGTTTTCATATCAATGGCAAAATAGATAGATTGAAAACTAATTTCTTTAGAACTACTTTTTCTGTTCAGTTTGTCCTTCCAAAAAAGTTCTACAAACGTACATAAATTAAAATATATATGGAATACAGCATGTGAATTTTGCAAGTTTTATTTGATGGACCGCAGCTATGGCTGTGACCTAAAGAGCTCTAAGTTTGCCAAGGATGTGTGGGGACAAGTTCGGGTTGAGTGTGAGGGTCACGCAATGGACAAGGAACCACGCCAATCGAGATGATTCAAATTGATATCTCAGTGTGCGTGTGTGTGTGTAAAAACGTGTTCCACGTGTGTATATATACACGTGTTCCGTGTGTATATATACACATGTTCCGTGTGTGTATACACGTGTTCCCTGTACGTGTGTGTGTACAAGTGCTCCACGTGACGCAGACAGCAATAATTCCCTAGCACGTCACGTGACACGTGTTTAACAATCATCGGGTGAGTGCGACGTGGAATGAGTTAATTTGTAATTTATTAGTGAAAAGTAAATCGGTAAATACGGAAATACGTAGCGATGGTTGATCGCGTAGAGTGAAGTTTGGGAAACTGCCTGAATATCTGTCGAGGCAAGAGCTGTTAACAGCTCTCGACATTTGTAGGCTATACAGGGGATCTTATTTCTTTCTTACACGAGTGTGTGTGTGTGTTTGGTGCATGCACGCACATGTGTACACGCCCGCACAAATGACGGACTTTCTGTCGAAATCAAAACTCAACCCTGTTCTGGCCGTACAAAGTTACACATTGTATTCCCCATTTTTTAATACAAAATTTGGATTCGTAGCAGAGTTCTGGTAGAACCTGTCATTGGAATTAATCGGAGACTGCGCTGCCTGCACAGGCAGATCCATCACTTCCAACCACACGATGGAGGCCCAGTCGTCGAGCATCTTAGCCTTGACTTTGAGCGCGGTCGAGGAGCACTGTGCCGTCAAATCCGACCCGCGTGCCATGGACTTCACGAACGTCGTTCCTTCGTTCTTCTGATTTCGTTTCATCATCTCCTCGTAGAGCATTTCCGGCGTGTTCTGAGGCACCCAGTCCTGTAAGGAGATTGCGAACTCTCTGCTGTAGACCATTGTGAAAGGGTTGCTGAACATCAGGCACAGGCATTTGTCGGAATCCTTGATGCGGTAGATGAGTATACCGGTGCAGCCAAAGAAGCCGGCCTTGGCCTTGCGGAATCCGCACGCCCGTTTCTCGTGCGGGAAAATCTCGCTGGGGATGCTGTACTCCATTGTGCCGCTTACCAAGTACCATCTGTGGAGAATGTGCTTTATTCATTAAAATATATAAGGCAGGCTTCAACTTACCAAGGTCCGACTTACCAACGCCCGTATACAGATAGTCCCCGAGTTACGATGGTCCAACTTACGATATTTCGATCTTACGATGGCGATACGACAAAATTGTAAAATATTTAAAATTTCGCGCGGAGTTAAGTTGTCTCGGTGTTAGCGGACAGTATGATATGATACGTTACGATGTGTTCAATGCATGTATGATACGTAGCTTTAGCGATTTCATTTTAGGGTTACCACGATACGATACGTTCAATGCATGTTAAAAGTTTTTTTTTATAGCAGATAGGATTGTTTCCTGAAAAAACGTTCTATTAAATTGCAGTTCATATAGGTAGGCTAAGAATTCACCTTGTTTTTACTTTACATTTTACTGTGAAATACAGTATTGTAATTAATAAATACATACGGTATATAGTTTATACAGTACGGTACTGTAAATTGCTCTGTTTTGCTAAATTATCACCATTCTTTAAGACTCCTGGGTAGGCTATAGGCCATCTTCGACTTACGATATTTTTGACTTACGATGGGGTCGTCGTAACGCATCCCCATCGTAAGTAGAGGACTGCCTGTACAGTCGGAACTCGCCAAACGGGCGGAGGTTACGTTCCTGAAAACTTCCGTGTTGGGCAAAACCGCGTTCAACAAAGATAAACCTCGTGGGCAAAACAAGGGCTGCGTGTTCTTGGGTCCGAAATGATCACCCCCTGCCTCTTCGTTTAATAATTATAAAAGACGACCGCCAGTGTTATTGTACTACAGCAGCGGTCGGGAACCTATGGCACGCGAGCCATATATGGCTCTTTCAGTGACGGCATATGGCTCCCAGACAATTTTGAGTTGAAAAAATAATAATAATAAAATAAAAAATCAGTTTGGAACTGATTTTAAAATACTTGTAATATTGTTTAATAATACTGTGTCATTTTAAAGTAAACAGGAATTAGTTTTGAAGATAAATTTCACGGGTCACGCCTGCATGAAGCTCAACCTCACCACGTATGAACCAGACAACAAGGCCATCAGCAAAACCATATAGCACCAGAAGTCGCATTAAAAGTAAGACATATTTAATTTATTATACGTTAAAAATACTATGTGGCTCTCAATGAAATATATTTAGAAATATTTGGCTTTTATGGCTCTCCCAGTCAAAAAGGTTCCCGACCCCTGTACTACAGGATGCCGAGTCGCTCTTCAGTTCTTGTGTGTGTGTGTGTACACTCTTTATTTTTAAATGTCACGTCAACACAAAACCTCCGTCTCCATTCCTCTTCCTGCACGTTGGCACTGCATGCCCAACGCTCTCTCCTAACACTGTCACTTAAACGTTGATGATTCGCCATCTAGGCGTCCGTGTATGACTCAGGTCCTCAACGAGCAAGACGGTTAGTTGCACGCAGCAATGTGGTGGACAATTTGCGTTGTGCTGTTTGCGCGTGTTGAGTGCGTTACATTGTCGCACACAGATGTACACAACAAGACACACACAAAACCACGGTCAATTAATCATTCTCACTGTCGATTCATTCGCGCGTTCAAACGGACGCAGCACTCTCGTCAAACCACGTGTCGCCGAAACATCACCCCCGCGTTAAAGAAAACAGACCTCATATGGTAACGCATGTTCAATAGGCCCACACTGGGCAAAGCTTTTTTCTATATAAATTATATATGTAATATATATAGTCTCCGTATATTTCTTTTCTGTCATACCCCCCTCCCCCTCCCACATCTGCTATTCACTGCAGCAGACACCGACAGCCCGCTTGGACAACGAATAACAACAACCACCGCCATGGCGGTGATGTCACTACGGCGCTTGTGCTAAGGCAATGCGCATTTTAAAGCCACTTGAAGGGGTCGAAACGCCCGCTTGTAATGAGAGGTTCACGGGAAAGACCCAGTTGCCGTGGGTTGACTGCCTGAGATCGCATTTCACCACGACTCACACGGGCGCATGCAGCGTGCGGCCGGAGAAGTTTGAGATCTCCACGGCCACCTTGCAGCTCGTGGGAGTCCCAGCGATCACGGCCTCCACGTCCACCCCCTTTGACTCCAACGGCGGCTTGGTCCCGGTTCCTGCCATCTGGGTTCCTGCTATAGCAAATTAGCAACGAAGAAAATGTTGGGTTCGGATGGAACACGCCTAGATCTCGAATATTATTTGTCTCCACTTTCTCCACAACGTCAGTAAGAAGAACAAGTGAAGTAATGGCTGAATGGTGGTATAGTTGTATGTTTTAAAACTGTGTGCACTTCGAGGCCACATAAAGTGTCGAAGATTCGCTGGCAGGTCAGGGAACAGACCCAGGTGTCATGAGTTGACTGAATGAGACGCGCCAACCTCACCCCTACCGTATCAAATCGCTGCGTTTTAGGAGCCTGATGCTCCGCTCACTGTGAGCGTCGCTCCTCTGCCCTGCCTATTGATGGAGGGCGACTGCATAAACTATGCAGTAGCGTCCTTCACTAGCCTCATCATCCACAGAGGCCAATCTTGACACCCCTGGTATCGATCATCGGCAAGTCCAATAACCTTCATTACTTAAGCCCATCTCTTTTCTAATTGCGCCGAGCCTGGCACAAGCGCCGTCACCACGTCACCCCGACTCAGTGGCGAACGGCAGTTATTGTTGTTGTTTTATTATTATTGTTGTTTTAAAACCCATTCAGTTGCTATTGAAACTGCGGAATTAAATATATCTCACCTGGCAGAGACGCTGCCTTGACTCCGTCTGTGCACCTCGGTCCGTGGGGTTATGCGCAGTGGAGGGCTCCCTAAATGCGCGTTAAAGGCGACCTCGCCTCTCGCCCACGCGCTTCCTCGCTCCGTATTGGCCGACGGGAGAGGCGAGTCACCTGTGCAGGTATTGTGGGGCCACTGTGTGGATACACGCACACACAGAATATGTGTAACAAGGCTCACGCGTGCGTGGGTACCTTGCTGACACACCTTTAATGTAAATGTGAAAAAATTAACCCGTAAAAACAAAGTTTTTCACTATAAATCCTTTATATGCGTGGCGGCTAGAGTCCTCTCGTCCTCTGGCTTGAGATGGCTGCCACCTATGGGTCAGATGATTGTCTGCCACCATTAAGCAATTGGTAATTAAATATTTATTTATTTTTCCCTAAACAGTGTAAAATTTTGGAAAAAAATTTTCACGAAAATTAATTGTCACGCACAACGAGTCTGTGTGCAAAATGTCAGCTCGATTGGATCACGGGAAGTGGGTTAAAAAACGACCGAAAGATTTGCACGGTCGTAAGCAAGCAAGCAAGCAAGTGAACTTAATATAAAGGATTTAAAAAAGCGTCATAGATCGTCACATTTCTCATAACTCAATAAAGATTCTCATTCTGAACAGCTGTCGATCATCACCATTAACAACATTATGATAACCCATGGTCTATCAACTGCCGGATAAAGCCCCCCATCGCAACCTCCATTTCCTACATCCCCCAAGCCGCTATCATCTCTCATCTGATGCTATCGCTCCATCTCCCCGCTCAATATCCTCGCGGGCCGCGCTCCCTCCTTTGACTGCCACTCCGTTGGTAGTCTCGGCCGTCGGTCAACACCTGCCAGTAGCACGGTTGGCTACATAGAACGGGACATAAGTTCAACATACACACATACATACACATGCACGCGAGAGTGGGACACCACTCTAACTCTGTAGAGAAGGGACATTGTATGCGGTTGAACTGTTTTGTACCGCCTTCTGGCGAGCCAGGGGGCATCGCATTCTCCTCGCACGCCCACGGGAAGGGAGTTTCACAACATTCGTGCGCCGAGCCTGGCACTGACCTTCGCTCCTGCCTCTGACAGGTGCTGGATTTTATTCCTGCGTATGGTGGCAGCAATATGTCCAGGAGCTAGAGATGACAATGTCGAGGTCTGATAGTCACGACGAGAGGACTTCATTAGAGAGTTTGTTTAGTTTTGCTGCTCCTCTGTTGAAGGAATGCAGATGACAATGGTTTACCATATGGTTTATAGTTTTGGGTTGCATGGCCACAATCTTATTTTTAATGCATCTCTACGGATCTGTACGTGTATCTCGGTATCGATGTGCCTCTTTGAGTCTCTATGTATCTCTATGGGTCTATACGTATATCTATGAACCACTATGCCTCTATTTATGTGTGTAACTATGGGTCGTTATGTACCTACGAAGGACAACAAACTAAACATAGATGACTTTTGTCTTTAGTTTGTTGTCCTTCCCCACATCTCCGATGAGCACGGTTGGCTATGTACAGTGTGAAAGAAGTTCAACATACATATCAAGGTCGACTCACCCAGCAGATGAGATTATGGCAACATGTTCGAACCACCTTATTTTGCTACATATGTGTTTGGCTAAATGAATTTAAGACGTATTCTCTGAAACGCTACTGCTGTCTGCTCCAGTGTCAGACTTATCAGCTGCTCACTTTTTTGCCATGGATTTAACGCCCATTGAACCTATATTATGAATGCTACAATAAACCAATACAATTTTGATCATATATCCTCACAAAGATAATTGTTATTTTTGTGTTTACGATGTCTTTTTTGATTAACATGTTTATGTTTACACCAATATATTATGTAGATGTATGTAGCGCCTTCTTGGAAGGCGCTTAGATTCATATAACTATAGAGTCTGCATTTAGCGCAAAACAAATTGATTTGTAAGAATAATAGTGACCCCAGAAATCATGATAACTAATTCGTGGACGGAATTAAATATTACATCCCTTAATATATAAAGAGTTAACTGTACACAGTGAGACGATATCAACAATTTAAGATTTCCACTCGGCAGTCTATGTCCTGGAATGGCTGTTTAGAGCATCACTCCGAGAAAACACCTTCCCGTAATCTTTGCAAATGTGTGGCTTCACACCCGTGTGTGCCCTGGATTGCTTCTGCCTATATGAACGCTGCGCAAACATCCTTCCCGCGATCATTGCACGCATAACAGCGTCTCGCCAGGAGTGTATCCTGGAATGCATTTCTCAACCACTCATTTTGAGACCGAAACATCGCACCTCCTGGTGTTGACATCCCCCCCTTGAAGACACCGGTGTGTAAACATCAACCGTATCAGAACATCAACATCAAGATGAAGCACGCGTTTCCATTCAAAGAGAATTAAGGATCAGCTACAGTAGTTGCGATTGCGACAATGCAATCCAAACAATGGACCATATAGTAGACCACTGTTACTCTTTGGTTCTTTCGGTAAAGTCACGTAGGTAAAACAAACGTTTTTCACTCTAAATCCTTTATATGCGTGGCGGCTAGAGTCCTCTCGTCCTCTGGCTTGAGATGGCTGCCGCCTATGGGTCAGATGATTGTCTGCCAGCATTAAGCAATTGATAATTAAATATTTTAAAAAAATTCCCTAAACAGTGTAAAATTTTGGAACAGTTTTTTTTCACGAAAACTAATTGTCACGCACAACGAGCCTGTGTGCAAAATTTCAGCTCGATTGGATAACGGGAAGTGGGTTAAAAAACGACCGAAAGATTTGCACGGTCGTAAGCAAGCAAGCAAGCACGCAAGCACGCAAGCAAGCGAACTTAATATAAAGGATTTAATATAAAATGGATCCTTGCAGATCCTTGCAGTCACGAAAACTTCTAATCTAGAATAGACCACTGTTGTCTGCGTTCCTTCACTGGAGGAAGAGCAATTCCGCTTACACTACCGCTCCCCACACACTCCCTTTCACGCATACGTACGCGGGCACACACTCACTCACAGTGCGAGGCCGACTCATTACATCTTGCGAAAGATCGCTCCTCCAAAAAAAATAGTTACACGGTTCAGTTTGCAAGTGCGACTTCGCGCTTTAAGTCAACGCCATTTTTCAAAATATTTAATGGCAGCTTGTTCGTAAGTACGAGTGGTCGTAAGTTGGATGTTCACAAGTTGAGATCTGCCTGGACTCAACGGACTCTCTCCTGACACCATCTCGCGGCAAGCAGACCTTAGACATTGGCATTCAGCTCACGAATATATTGCCATGGGGAAGAATAGCATTGGCAGAGTAAATATTGTTTTAAAGATATAATAAAAAAACGAGTGTCTATTGCGTTGTGAATACCCAGTACAGTTTGCATCTGGAGCCGTGTGATACCAGCTTGAAACGTTGACACCAAACGGTGTGTGGACTGACTCGGATGGAGTCGTGACATTGGGGCACATGGCTCCCTCTGGCGCTCCACTGCGAGTATGGTCGCTCACAATAAAGGGTGTTCAATTTTGACTTTAAACGTTCGTGACTGGATGAATTAATTACCTATGGTTCTTTCGGTAAAGCCACGTAGATAGAAAAATATATACCAATAAAATAATAAAATGAAAATAAAGTGAATAAAAAATAATAAAACATCACGACGTTTCGATCGCAAAACAAGCGGTCGTCATCAGGAACAGGGAGGTTAGCCTCTGACAGGTTTAGACATAGGACTATACAGTACTTTACAGTACTATACAATACTATGACTATAGAGTACTAGTACTACGCAGTTTGTCATTGTACAACATTGTACAACACATAAAACTAAAATAATGACCCATAGCTAGAAATTGGGCCGCTGTGTTTACAAATGCCTGGGCCGATGTTTAGTCCAAGTCCCGTCACTGGCCATGAGACTGGACACAACGAGACAATACATATCTAATCTAGATTTTGAAGTTTCAGCAATTGTTTCTTGCTATGGTTGTCCCACCTAATGACGGATGCTTGCGTTGCGTCCGAAACGTCGTGATTTAATTTATTTTATCTTATACCTACGTGACTTTATCTAAAGAACCAAAGAGTATGAAATGATTATCTATCCATGAAATGGTTCAATGGCCGGATTCGTGGCGAGCCATCGAATCGCTGTGCTGTGAAATTGTTTCGTGTTCACTGCGCGATACGCCGAGTGGAATCGAACTTGAAAGTGGTCATGTTTAAATGCATGCCTATACAGGCCACCATACTTCAATAGGGATTACCATTGGTAAGGCTATTTTAATACAATGGACAGGAGAGGGCTCGCATCATGCGCATGCATAATGTACGTTTACTCATTAATCCCCCCCCCCCCCCCACACTTTGCCCAAGAGCGCAGAAGCGTGGTCACCACATCTACGCCTCTATATAAGGAATGAAACAGGTGGACTTCTCCACAAATCTGGCTGTCGCTTGATGAAGCTAGTTGTAATTACTGGCGAAAGGGCGTACTCAGATTGTAAATGTTGTGGCTTGGCTCTCCAACACACTGGTGTGCTGTACTAGTGACGAACTGGCCACGTTCTGTTTATGTGACAGACCTTACTAGTTGGCTGTGTCGGGTGGTGGTGGGTTTAACGACGCATTTATATATTTACCTGATCTAACCCAAAGAAAACCCCTCTTTTATAGAGGTAATTAATGTTCGTAAATAAAACGCACACTAGTCAAAAGTAGTACAAATGTAATGTGAAACGTTATGTTCAGGTCCACACAAGTTATACAGTATAATTTATATTCTTGGTTCTTTCGGTAAAGTAACGTAGAAGGGAAATAATAAAATAAAAAATATATAAAACAATAGTTTTTTATTGTTTTATATTTTCATTATTTTATTATTTCCCTTTTACGTGACTTTACCGAAAGAACCAAGAATATGAATCCCTGCAGTCACGAAAGCTTTAAATCGAAATTTATATAATTTAGTATAACAGTGACATACACACACATATTGAAAAAGACAGTACAAACATTTCGGAGCAACAGGATGCAGAAGAAGTTAGGTACAAGTGCCAGAACATCACGATCTGGGTACATCAAGACCCGGGGACACGTGACAAACGAGATCAAATGTCGTCGGGTGGTCGAGGGATTACGACAAGATAGTTGGCATGACACTTTGTGGCAACTGTAAATGTTGTGGAATTCGCATGTTCTGTTAACTTGACAATTCTTACTAATTGGCTGTGACGCATTTATGTTTACGAGATCCTCCCAAAAAACATATTATGGAAGAAACAACCTACTACCACGTGTTTGAATCCACGAAACGTCACGACAGGACTCACCCGCATCTACCCATCACACGTGGAGGCAAGTTAAAGCTGGTGTTGACTTTAATACATAAACTATAAGCACATTTTCAGTGAACGACATTTATATTCCTAGAATATCACATGTAGTGTGCACTTAAAACAAATCAAAATGACTTTAAACACATCTGCATTTTGTATTAGACGTGCACTATATTT